TGCTGTGGCGTGCGGCCAGAGGCACGCAGGCAGGTGCTCGAGGGCACCGTGCGGTTCTATCACTCTAAGTCCAAGCATACCTGAAGATATCAGCTGAAGAAAGTGAAGTTGGGTTTGTCATTGTCGCACCTAATTCGCCCAGACTCGAACAGCTTTGCATGCCATTCGTGGAATTTCGCGATCCACTTCGGGTGTCACTGGGGTCCTACGAATGTGTTGAAAATCTAAAGGAAGACATTACACTAAACAGGTAGTCGGCTCGAAAATAGGAGGAACCAGTTCGGCAGCTGCTTCCACTCGGAGCCCTGATCGCTCACGCTTTCAGTTTCGTTCGACTAGTAGTTGCGCCGATTCTTTCGACAGTCATGGAATAGTAGCGGTATTGCTCGATTGACTGTCGCTCCGCTCAGCGCAAAGGCTTTTATCATGCAACGACCATGTTAATGGCTTGGTAGATCCCGCACGCCCAGGTCAGCAATAGAGCGTCAGACTGCCCGAGGTTAGCGCGCTCTACATGATGCCATTGTGTTGACGATCGCACGCGCATGTACGCGGTGCATAAGACTACTTGGGCGGCGAGCAAGCTTGCGCTTGGCTGGTGGCGGTACCTGCTTGAGCGTTCAGCGACGGGGCAGGCTGCTACTAGTGAGTGAGAGTGAGAGAGAGAGAGAAGGCGAGGTGTGGACAAAAAAACACATTCGCCTACAACTGCGGACGCACCCCAGGACATAGAATAGGGTTCCTCGAAGGTCGCGTGAACAAGTACATGGACATACAGAAAACGTGGCAGCGACAGACATCACGCCAGCAAGGGATATAAGAGCCTCGACACTGTGCCCACGAACACGACGTGGTATAAATGGTGGGAAAGAAACTCGGTTTGGTGGTTTGAGCTGCCAGGAAGTCAGAAGCAAGTGTGAGGACATAAAGCTATTAATTAGTTTCAGACTGATCAAATCTATCCAGTTTCATCTGTGAACAGCTCCATCGAGAGTTGTCCGTGGTCAATCTCGACCTAACACAATTCAGCTGGTGTACAGATACAAATTGCCTGTATTCAATCAAAGTACTTTTGTGGTGTTGAAGTGGTCAGGAAAGGGAAGGAGTACTGCATCGATTGGAGTCAGTGTGTGCGCGCGTGGTGACAGTCCGCAAACGAATCCACTTGCCAGACTTCTGCA